CTGCATTTGAGATTTGGATCAATTTGAGCGATCGATTTTGGCAAAGTAATGGTCCAAAAAATATTCTCAATAAACCGAGAAATTATGAATATGTTAAAGCAACATGATTTAATTGGTGTGTATTTTACCAAACTATAACCCCTCATTGCAAAATGGTTGTAGATAAGTTTCTTCGTTTTGACTCCGATTTAGTCATCATCACAAATTGCAGACGTTCTTACAAAGCCATTCCAAAGCCTGTTATGTTTCATTTGATTTCTAAAATAGCGCTGCAGTATATCTATTCTCTATGCTCATCTTGAGGGGGGCATATTACGACTTTATATTTACTTATTTAGACATGGAAGGTACTTCTGTCATTATTTAAATTAGTTACAATGTTAGTTACTTTCTTAATCTTTGTTATGGTCTGATTACTTAGGGTATAAATAGATTATATATGTATTAGTTTCTTTCATTCATTCAGTTCAATTACGAAGTTTTCTAGTTCTCTCTCTATGATATAGATCATATGTTAAACGTAACTAATCATATGTGATTCAAAACGTGGATCTGAAAAATAGAGAAAAAATGGTGAAAAATAATAATGGATTGATTATGAATATCGCATGTAATATTTGACCAAAAAATTGTGAAAAAAATCTTATAAAAATGTATCTAAAATTAGTGAAAAAATATATAAAACTTGATCAAAAATTATTAATTAATTAAAAACAAATAAATCAAAAGGATATAATGAGATTTTTAAAGCATTCAGATAATGTTTTAGTTATAATTAAACCTTTAACATAATATTCGACTCAATTCAAAATAATAATTATCCAAATTTCAAAAAAAATTCATTTTTTATTTATGGTATTTTTCAATGAATCGTGTTGTCTAGATTGTTTCACGCCTTCTCGGAAATTGTAAGATCCCAAATTGCAGACACATTTTAAAACCGTTGAGTCCAGGTACGTGGATAAAGCAAACAATATGTTATACAGTTAGCTTGAGATGTTATAGATGGTACCAGAGCCAGAGAACCAGACTAGTGGACTAGCGAGGACGTTGGGGGTGGATTGTAAGATCCCACATTGCAAAAGCATTTAAAATCGTAAGTCAAGATGTGTGGACAAAACATATAATATTTGGTACAGTTAACCTGAGATGTACAGACTGTAAGATGCCACATTGGTTAGGAAGGAGAACAAAAGTTGCTTTATAAGGGACTGGATACCTCATCTGTCAGATGTGTTTTAAAATCGTGAGTCTAGGTGGATGAACAAAGCAGACAATATCTGATATGGTTGACATGAAATGTTACACATGTTAACCACTTTATAATTTAAACCTGACCCTCTATACATAGATTAATTAACAAAAACGATCTTTCTTTTTCTAATCCATGGAAAACTTATATTATTTGATAAATTAATATTAAAAAGATTATGATAAAAAAGTTGAAAGAACATCAACATTTTGTTTCATATCTTACTGTTGGAAAGATATCAGTTAAAGATGCAATTAATTAAATGCTTGATTGGCTTCAGGGTTAGTGAAACGTCGAGGAAGGTAGCTTTGTTCGGTTCAGGGGTCTTGTGCTCCATCATATGTCAAAATCTTTACATGGATAACCAAGATGTATATGTTCAAAAAAAATGTGATACGATACAACAAAACATGAAAACCCTGAGAAAAAAAGTAAGCACAATTGTGTTCTATAATCAAGCACGATTGTGCATCTTGATATGTTAAAAATAGTACGGATAATTTGGCATGGCCGTCGTACATTTATAAATATGGCCGTGAAATGATCCGTAAATCTGAAAACTAATATTTTTAGTATTTGGATCAAGCTGAGATTCGTATAGGGTTTTAGTATTACTATTTTGCCATCTCCATCTTTGTAACATGAATTTGGGAGAGAAACTTGCGTGAGGTTTAGGCTTAACAACTTTTGAGAGTTTAATCACAATTTACAGATTTTGGTTTTCTCTTCGATAAATAAAGAACCTCCTTTTGTTTGTGGACATATACAATCATTTTGGTTGTGGAACCATGCTTAATCTTTGAGTTGCTTGATAAACTGTTCTTTATTGCGGTTTGCATATTTGTTTTATTCATCTTTATTCTGATCCGTTTTGTTTCATATTTGGTTGTTGATCATATCATATACTGTATTTTTTAGCATAAAATTTGTAGTTCCATTTGCTATGGGATTATGTAGTATTAAGATCCCAATAGTATATCACATATGGCTTCCCGACTCAATCATGTGCAGCTATATCAACATTTTATTAATCAGGCATTTATTTAATTATTGTCTGTTTAATAAAATAATGATGATTTGTCTGCCTATGATTGGTGGATAAGGAGTTTAGGGATAAGAGATTTTTTATTCCATGTATGGCTAGAAAGAGATAGAGTCTTCAGAGTTCATGACCAACAGTTTTCATCAACGATGTAATATACTTTCAGTTTTTCTTCATTAACTACAACTAGTTGGTCGAGTCATGATCAAAATAAAGTTGGGTTCTACTGTATTTTCTTGATGCCGTTGATAACAACGTTCATTCCAATCGTTCAAATGACTTCTTTTCGAAAAGTTACAATCTTAAACTACATACGTTTTGTTGAATAAATAATAATTCAACATGAAATAATCACAAAAATAACCATTTTAAGAGGTCTCATCACAAAATATCGGCAATATTATCCAAACTTTGCATAAAATATGCGAACTTACTTTATTTTGTTTGCAAGGACAAGACAAAACAAAGAGGATTCATTGACCATGCATCAATTCGTCGATGATCGACAATTCTCCGATAATCATGATCACTTGCCACATTTTCTCCAGAGATGAAATTCAGTGATGATAGCTTTTTCCGACGGATTTTTCTTTCGGACAAACCTATTTGTTTTGTAGTGGGACCAAAAATAAAACCATAGTGGAGAGGGAATAAGAAATTCCCTTGTCTCAAATTATCACGTCTCATTCATATCCATCAATCATATGAATACACATAATCAAGTAGGATCAAATAGGAAATATGAACTTAAATTTTAAATAAAATTTTATGTCTTAATTTCATTGATAAGATAGAAATAACACGGAGAACAATAGCTTTTTGTTATTTATAGGGGAGGGATGTTAAGAGATTATTTCAACTAAGGAGGTGTTTGTGATTGCTTATAAAAACAACTTATTGACTTATTCTGATGTGACATCGGTAATAAGCATTTTTGAGTGTTTGGATAAACAATTTATACCGGTGCCAAACCGGTAATAAGAAGTTTTTTAAGAAGTTAAACCCTTCTGACTTATAATAAGTTAATAAGTGCTTTTGTAGAAAAACATAAGTTGTTTCAAATAAGCAATCTCAAACACCCCTAAAAGTAAAAAAAAAAAACAATATTTCAGTTATGCATTTTTTTTAATTTAAACACATAAATAATTGGTGTCAGGCCAACCAAGAACCGGATTCTATGCAACATATTTTCTTTAAAAAGGATCCTATGCAACATCTTCCCCAGTTTTCATAAAATTGTTTTCACATAAAAATATTTTGAATTTATTTTTATGACGATTTTAATTTATGATTTTCCAAATTAGAGTCACGTTTGTGATATACTGCTATTTAAGCCACTGACCTTGAAGTATAAACAAATTAGTTGTGTACCTGTGTAATGTAGCGGGAGTCGTGAATTTTAACGATTTTGAAGTTTTACTGGTTTTATTAGAGAAAATTTAACGATGATATAAATAACATTTGGTCTTTACATATTAATACAATTTGAATAAATAAAAGTTATGGTTCTAATTACAGTCTATCGATGAAAAAAATTGTATGACAGTTTAAAATCCGATATATTTAAAATCCAACATATTTAAACGACTTCACAAATGTGTTTGATTTACACCAAGAGCGAAAAATTAAGAGATCGAGAGCGAGACCAAGAGTTCTAGAACAATTGAATGAAAGATGAATGAAAGAACTTTTAATAACTCATGATGAATATCAGTTTGAATCTCACATTAGGTGGATGGGGAGGAGACATAGAGGTATGAGAGAGTGAAAACATGAGTGAAAAATGTCAAAAGTATCATGGGAACATGAAAATAAAAGGTAATAATGTGCAAATTGATAACTTGTACTATATGTTACTTTAATTGTAGATTAAGAGATTTTAAGACTGAATGCATAAAATAATAGTACTTAATGAGTTGTTTTTAATGTTTTTAAAACTTTGTGCATTAAAAATTGTTTTTAAGATTTTTGATAAATCTGATTTATAAGATAATATAAATGTAACACATTTTTTATACATACATTTGAAGCTTCAAAACGCTTATTTATTAAAAATGTTTTTTTAAAGAATTTGTATTTAAAACTTTTTTTTATAACTATATATATACATACATGTATATATATCAATTGGTAATATCAATTACAATGGTCTGTGGGGTATAACTCAGATGGTAAAAAGGTGAGATGATTTTACTCGAATACGCGTAGCTACTGAGTGAGCCAAAGATTGCCTTCACATTGGTGTCTTTAGTGGCGGTTTCTATGTTGGATTCAAGTGGTGTTGTTGGTAATCAACTTTTTGTCCAAATATGAATTACTTAATTAATTATGATAATTAATTTCAAGAATTAAAAATTAAAATTAATTAACTAAAACAGTAACTAAACAAAACATTTTTATATTTATTCTCAAATAAATATTTCTTACATTTATCCAGGACTCCATTAAATATAAAGCAGAAGCAAGCAAAGCTCATCCTTTGAATGAGCCTTTACTTTCACAAAGCCATTTGATCCTTATTCTTGGATTAAATACTCTTGCAACACAAGAATCTGTATAACCCTTTTCATACTACACATTTTCTATCTTAATTGTTCTCCGTTTTCCGATCAAGACCTCGTTATCCAAACCATGATAACCAACGTTGTTATGTCGTTTCACACTGTGAATTGGTCATGTATGGATTGATCTTTACGAGATAAAAGGAACAGAAAGATAGCGTTTTCGGTATCAACTTTAATTATTGTTGTACTATGGCAATATTCCATTTTTTATACCAGATATATAGTAACATCTATTAATGTGATATAACCTTGAAGGACAGCTTATTGAGACTATTGAGCCATGACTTCCAACTACGGACGTCCGGCTGGCGAGTAATCATATCTGACCTACCTTCCGTGGTTTGCTGACCAGCCTTCTTCTTAGACATCACAAAGATCCTCCCACCAGATAACCCAATGGCTTCACTTGAACTCAGTGCTACGGTATTCAAAAATCAAAACAACAAAGCTTTTACTAATCAACCAGTAAAAGAAATAAAAAATAATTCATCAAAACACTACAACAAAATCGAGTTCTTGAACGTTGGATATGTTTAAGTGTTAATTGTTTTATTAGGACTTAAAGTTTATACGACCACACAATTGTTTGTCCTATGTAAAAGTGTTGAAATAAGTTTATAAGACGTTTTTTGGCATCTTAAAATGTTTTTGGGACAACCACAAGGGTGGTGCCTGATTGGTTTGAGCTTGGCTCCAAAGGTCAAAAGTACCAGGAAGTCCCAGGTTCAAATCCAAGGAGGACTAAAAATCCCCTTGAGGCCACGGAGGTTCAAATGCGGTGACTCCGAGCTATCTGCAAAGCAGATGGTCATCCTGTGAGCATAGCGGGTTGGATATCCAGGTTAACAAAAATATTGTTTTTGGCACTTTTGAAATAAACGTCATATTAACTCTTTTTATATGACAATATTAGAAAAATTAGTATTTTATGTTAAAAAATGTCTTAAAAAACTTGTTGAAAATACTCAAAAACGTCGTAAAGTTATTATTTTTATATAAAGTGTCTTAAAAAACTTGTTGAAAATGCTCAAAAACGTCGTTAAGTTATCATTGTTTGGTGCTATAAACTTAAACTCTATAAAAGAGTCTATTACGACACTTGACATTATATATTGGCGTCTCGCATGTAAACCCGATTTTGTTGATGTAAGATTTGCAGACCAGTCCAAGTTCGAAACTTCTGAAACGGGTTACCGATCAAAATGGTAAAAATGCAGCAGAATCTTATCTGGGTATGAACAAAACTCTAAAACAGATGATCATAAAGCAACGACTTTCGAAAGGGAGTTTAAGTTTACTACCATCGGAGCGAGCATTTGAAACATAGAGTACGAAATTCTTGAAATCGGATCCGAGAATAGGAAGACGTCCGCCACGAGCATACAGTTTCAGAGAGGATTCGATAACAGTCGACACTGTATCATCTTCATTCACCAGCAACCTCAACGGTCCCGGACTCCCTATCACATTAACCGTAATCAACACCCGGTTTTTCTTCAAACACTGATCATTCTTCTTCTTCTTCTTCGAAATTTTGCTCATCATCTTCTTTTTGGTTACCTTAATCCCCTACTTGAAGTTGGTGGATCATGAAATTATGTAGGAGCGATCGGGAAGCGCTAACGAAGAGTATAAAGTGATTGAAAAGGTCGATCTACGAAAACGAACGATCGAGAAAAAAGCCATGAAAACACAAGTAATCAATAATGCGTTAGATGTTGTTATAAGAAACCCATCAATCAGGAAACTTATATGGATGAAAAGTCTATCTACTTTTGACAAAGACGTTTGTTCTTGTTCTTCCAAATGTGAAATGCCAAAAGCAACAAAAGCTTCTTTTAATCACCACCATTCCACAAGAAATCATATTAATTCGTCTTTTTAGTCCGAATATGGACTCGAAACAAAATCATATCGACTTATGCTTCCGGAACAAGAATACACGGATGTTACGGTGCTACTGACCCCGACATCATATTATTCATCTTTCCGTTTGGTCCAAAGACATTTCGCTCAAGGTTAAAAAAACGTTGAGTGAACCACAAGGGTGGTGTCTGATTGGTTTGAGCTTGGCTCCAAAGGTCAGGTTCAAATCCAAGAAAGAACAAAAATCCTCTTGTGGCCACGGAGGTTCAAATGCGGTGACTCCGGGCTATCTACAAAGCAGGTGGTTGCCCTGGGATTAGTCGGCTCGCATAACGGGTTGGATATCCAGGTTAATAAAAAAAACGTTAAGTGAGCGTTTAATTCGAAAAATGTTTTTTAAATGAATGAAATGTGTGAAAGGAATTGGAATGGAATTGAATCAAGTTTGGTTGACTGATAGTGGAATGACATTTGTCTCAGTAATTTGATTCCGATTGTTAATTAATTGGTTCACAGAATATAACTTTGAAATTGTAACTAAGTAATGACAAATGGCGTTCATTGTTTAAATTATAAATAAAACATATAATGATAAATTTGCTAATACTTTTAATTGATTTTGGTGGCAACGATGGTGGTGGTAGTGGCGGTGACGGCTGAAAAGTTGGCATTATAATAAAATTGGGTTTATAGGACGTCAAAATTTCTAAGCGTACTGGACAACTTTATTTATAGAAACAAAAAAATAAAGCGTCATATCTAAAGACGTTTTAATAAGTTTATATGACGTTTTTCGGTGTCTTAAGTTTTTTAAGACATTTTTATAAAAAAACTTCGTATTAGCTATTTGAAAAAAGTGTCTTATTAAAACAAATGTACTAAAACAGTAGCTAATGTAATGCTTTGTAGTAAAAGTGCCCTAGAAAACTTGTTAAGACGTTCAAAAGCGTCCTATAAACTTATTAACAACGCTTTGTAGTAAAAGTGTCCTAAAATTTTTATTAGTACGCTAAAAAACGTCCTATAAACTTATTACAACGCTTTTGGATAAGACATTTTTATTTTTTGGTCTATTAAATTAAGTCTTGTAAAACAATCTATGGAGACAATTAGAAGTTGATGGTGTCCTATAAATCCAATTTTATTGTAGTGCAACGAGGATGGTGTTGCATTGGATTCAAATGGTATTTTTGTGTTTGTAAAATCAAGTTATGAATTCTTGACATTGGGAAAGGAATTGAATTCAAATTCACTGGACTTGTGTAAAACGATGATCAAATCCTTTAACGACGGAATTCGATGGAATTCCTTCCATTCAATCCACAAATCATACGGGGCCATTTGCTCAAAAGAAACTGTCATTCTAATTATTTCACGTTCCTGAAACAAATGTCCATTTAATTAAGTTTATTAACACTGATCAAGTTCGCTTCCACGTCTAAGTCTTTGCAAAATAGTCGTAACCCTTGATTTGATATAAAATTCAATAAATTTATTGACTCTGATCGGACAATCAATTTAAAGTTCTTTTGGCTTGAGTTTGAGCTATAACTTAATGATGCCCGATTAATTCACAAGTCATGCATGTTTCACAACACTACTATTTGGCTAAAGTATATATCAAAAGCTTGCTTAAATTTTATAGCGATGGTAAAATATCGTTCATGGATAATTGTCGGTAAGTCTAATTAAGAGTTGGTAATCCGTCGATGAAAGTCACTTGGCGATCCGTTGATAAGCTGTCGGTAAAACATTGTTTTACATTTTATTTTCACAAATAAATCACCTTTGCAACGACCCATTACCCGACGGCCATCCCGTCTATATTCTTTGAAAATCAATCGGTATATTCTTTACTGATCAAGTCGTGTTAGTAGCAAATTTTTTCCATTGACGACTTACCAACGAATTCGTCCGTTGGTGATAGCCTGCTTTTTGTAGTGGTTATCAAACCGGATAATTAACTTGAAAATTAAATAACCTGAAACTGAGTAATTAAGAACTTATTGGGTTCATCTTGAATACTTCAAATCTAAGAGTTTCATTTAAATATTTTAGAAAATATTTAACATTAAATAATTAAGTGGGTTGGTTATAATATATAAATCCTTTTTTTCTTTATATGTAATTTGTTTTTCTAACTTACTGTTAGTTTCTTTTTATAAAATCTTTATCGTTCAAAAAAGTATTTTAGAAAATAAAACACACACACACACACATATATATATATATATATATATGTATGTGTGTGTGTGTGGAGCCATGTTCAAGGTAAAATCGTAAGAAAATGAAAAATTGAGTAACACAATGATAATTATTCACCTGGAAGGTATGTATATATATGTTTACAAGTAATTTGTCCGTTATACACGTCCATGTGAATGGTTATCAGAGTATTTTTCAGTTTTTCATTTTTTTGGGGCTTTTCCCCTAAACTTCTCTTCCTCTCTCTCCTCTCTCTCTCTCTCTCTCTCTCTCTCTCTATATATATATATATATATATATAGTAATATCCCATCTCACATTTGCATATAATCCACATATTTTATATATCATGAAATACAATAATTAACATTAGTCCCAAATGTACAAATTGCTACATATAAAAGTAGCTACAAGTTTTTCATTCACACTACATGACTTGTATAAAACACATGCACATATTTAACTTCCAAAAATTTCACATATGTAAGACAATAATAATCCCCTTCACATCTTTACTTTACCTTTACCTTCCACCGGTGCCCGTATGTAATGCACATTTTTAAACACAAAATGAGGGTTAAACCACAAGGTCTAGTGAGTAATTCTCTTATTTGCAATTACAGGGTGAAAATCACCAAAACATTTTTTGGAAAACCAATACTGAAATGATATCATGTAAATAACATTCATCACATCAAACCTCATTATGTCGCACCATATAGATCAGACAACAAATTCCTCGCAACACAAGGATAAGATAACCCCATTTTTTCGCATCAAGCAGATGCGATAATCCATCTCATCGCATTGATTTGTGGTTAATATTGGATCTCACAATTATCATAAATTAATTAGTTCTCCCTTAAATAGACTCGTATATATATATATATATATATATATATATAGTGTTGGGTTCACGTGAGACCAAGGGTTTTTCGTGAGACCCATAAGACCAATTTATGTTCATTGATCAACTTTATAAGTTAATGATCTAATGATCTAAAATTGTACGGTGACAATTTTGTGATTATGAATGTTCAGATTGTAGATCTAATCCAAGGGTTGAGAAGTGGTCTTACGGGTCTCACGAAAAACCTTTAATCTCACATGATCCCAGGTGTATATATATATATATATATATATATATATATATATATAGGGGTAAGATCAAATGTTAACCAAATTTTTGTGTTAACTTTGTTAACCGATCTTGGCCATTTAATCTTTCAATAAATGGTTGTGATTAATCATAATTAAAACTTATTTTTTTTAAATTTAAAATTGCATAAAGATAAGTGAACAATGTTGAAAAAGGTATTTAGGTAAAAAAAAATTATGTAACTCCCATATCATTAATTAATTGGGAGTTACAAAATCAAAATTATATGATTTTTTTGTTAATTTATTTTTGTTAATATAAGAACCATATAAACACAACTATATATATATGAACCATTGTGTCAAATACGAACAAAAATTTGACATATATATGAACTTGGACTGCATAACATTTATAAACACAATATGAACATAATAAGAATAACTATTATACGAAAGAAAATAAATAAAAAAACATGTATGAACACGATATGAACAGCTTGTGAACAATAGTTCCTTCATTATAAACACATTCAAGAGCGATCATTTGTCAATTGGAGTTTTATACATGCATTGCATCCACACTGTTTAAGGTTTACCCCTTGTTCATATATGTTTCTGATCTTATATGGTTGTTCACCCCTTGTTCATATCGTGTTCACCTTATGTTCATATCGTGTTCACCTCTTGTTCATATCGTATATAATATATGAACATATAACCCCAACGCTATGAACACTGGGTGCAAACACTTATACAAATATAAAGATTTGGTATCAAGCTTAAAAAATAACATTTGTATTCATATGATAGAAGTAACATGAACACAATGGTTCATGATTCATAAAAGTCGGTAATATGACAATATGAAAATGGGCCGTGCATGTACTTCAATTTGAACATGTGAATTATGTACGTATTTTAATAATTAAAGAAAAAAAATATAAATACAAGATGAGTTATAAAAAACACAACACATCGTAATGAACATAATTTCGATTAAAACGAATCTAAAAAAATAAAAATCTATTACCAAGACATTTGCTTTGGTTAATTTCTTCAATTCCCGACCTCGAACTCCGATTGTCATCATAAACCATTTTAATCTTCTCACTGTTGTCTATTTATTTTCCATTGCGTTTATCTATATTAGCTTGATCGATACCGAAAATTTTTACTACCGTGTTTTTTATGCGAATTAAAAACTGATAAAACAACAAACATGGAAGATCAAGATTAAAAAAAAATTATTAATATTATAAATGTATATTTTTTGGGATTTGATGATTTGTAACTCCCCATTAATTGTTTGGGAGTTACATATCAAATAAATTTACTGAAATACCCTTGTAATTAAAATGTGAGCATGACATAAACCTACAAGAAGAATGGAATTTGATTGGTTGCCATGGTTTTCAAAGTTATTGGTTAACATTTGATCTTCCCCCTATATATATATATATAT